AGCCCCGCACCCCGTGCACCCTCACTGAGCCCCGCACCCCACGCACCCTCATTGAGCCGAGCAGGCAGATGATCCAGGATGTGATCTTCCACTCGAGCCCTCTCCACAGCCATCACAGCTTCCTCCTCTTCCTGGTGGGTAGGGGGCTTGGCAGAGGGCAGTGCCAGCAGGGGGTTGGGCCTGTCCAGGAGGCCTGGGTGGGGAAGACCAAACCCAGGGTCAACCATGAGCAGGGCCCCGCCCCCACCCCACCCCGCACTGGCCCAGGCCCACGCACCATTCCTTCGCAGGAAGCGCAGGCCATCCCTGTAGCCCTGCTTACACATCTCCCGCAGCACCTGAGGGTGGGCAGTTGGAGCAGGGGAGTCAGACACGCCCAGTTCTGCCCGGAGTCCCTGGTGTCCCTGCAACCCCCACCCTCCCCACTACTGAGCTAAGGGAACCAGGACCCAGGACAAGAGTCAGGCTGGACGGAGGCTGGAGAGGCTGCCCCCCAGTGGAGAGATTGTGCAGGCCACAGACTTCTTCCCCAGCCTCAGAAGAGGTTGTCCAGGTCCCCACCCTGCCCTTGTCACTCAGGAAAGGTGACAGGGGCAGCTTTCTCCCCCAGGACCAGGCGGGGAGAGGCTGTGTGACCCCGGCCGGCCGCCCCAGCACGACGCTCACCATGGGCTCGGGCGGGAACAGGGCCTTGGAGAGGCGGTAAAGGTTGCGCAGGTTGAACTGGATGCTAGTGTTGGTCACCCGGAGCTCGTGGATGTTGGTGGAGCTGTCCTGCGGGCAGATATCACTCTCGCCCGAGAAGGGGGACACTGTGATTGTATTCTTGAGCTCGTAGAGCGGCAGGTTGTCTGAGATGCCACCATCCACATAGCGCTGAGGTGGCAGGGACACGTGGTCACTGAGGTGACGAGGGGCCCGCGGGGTGAGCTGGCCGCCCCCCCTCCCAGCTGTTTCATTTGGGCCTTTCACCCGCTAGGCACTGGCCACAAGCCCCCAAGCCCTCCGGGGTGCCCAGCAATAGCCAGACATGGGAGGGGGAGGGTAGCTACAGGAAGTGTGCCTGGCCTGGGGCTGGCCTGGCTCTTGAGTAACTTGGGGAAGTGAGGCAACAGGCAGCGGGAGGAGTGAGGGGGACACTGATGGCTTCCTCCTCCACCCTTGTCCTGCGGCCCACAGTGATGGTCTCTTGTCACCCAGGAAAGGCGCCCAGGGGGTACTTACCACACCCTGGAGGGTGGGTGGGATGAGACCACAGTACACGGGGATGAAGGTGCTGCAGACATTGGCCTGTGTGGAAAACAGGGAGGGGAGGTAAGCGGAGGCTTCAGGGTCCAACTGTGCCCCTGGTGCGACCCCGCCAGGGCCCACCTGGATAAGCTCATCTTTGGAGTTGAAGTGGTATATAATGACATTCTCGCCGTCCGAGACGCGGGTCAGGGAGATGCCCAGGCGCCCGCTGGCGCGCTCATGGCTGTCAGCAGGCAGGGTCTTCATCAGGCAGCCTCGGATGGTCTTCACTAAGTTGAAGGAGGGGTGCAGCGGGCCCAGGAACCGCTTCCGGGCCTCCTTAGACACCTCGATGATGTTGGCACCGGCCTCACCTGGGGCAGCAGGCCAAGGGTCAGGGGGCAGCACACCCCTATGGCTCCATGCCCAGTGTCTCAGGGCACCCCAACTGATGGCACCCCACCACCCTGGAGGAATCCCAGTGCCCACTAGGGGGCCTGGCCCACAGTTGGGACTTTTAACACCTGCTCCTGAAGAGAGAGAGGCAGGCTACTCCCCCCGCCCCCCTGGGGGACAGACAGTGGGGCTGGCCAGCTGGGGCTGGGCCTGCCCTCTGCCCGGTGTTTCTCAACAGCCGGCCTTGATCCATGAGTCACCAGGCCTGGCCTCATGTGGCACTCAGCCTGGGAAGCAGTTAGGCTGAGGCTCAACTCTGACCAGCTTCAGCTTTTACACACTTGGCCAGACCCAGACTCACAAAGCCCAGTGCAGCCCAGGAGTCGCACAGGCCTTGCGGCACCAACAAGGTTGGAAATAGTGGGTGGGGTTCCACCACTCCTGGAAAGCACGACTGTGTCCTGCTGCGGCACCCCCGCACTCCTCTTGGGGGCCATGAGGGCCGGTGAGGACAGAGCCAGAGTGGGAGCAGGCCCGGGAGTGGTCAGAGGGCAGGAACGCCTTGCTGAGGAGCTGAAGACCATGGACCCCCTCCTCCAGGACCCCCACCCAGGTCAGGAGTGAACAGCGTGGGGCCGGCACCTGCCACACTGTGGGGGCTCCAGCTGCCCGAGACCACAAGTGAGAAAGAGGCTTCTCGCCCTGGTCAGGTGGCTCAGTTGGTTGGAGCATCACCCTGGACATCAAAGGTTTTGAGTTCAGTTCCTGATCAGGGCACATACCTAGGTTTCAGGTTCGGTCCCAGGTAGGGGCGCATACAGGAGGCAACTGATTGATGTTTCTTTCACATCGATGTTTTCTCTCCCTCCCTTTTGCTCTAAAATCAATAAAAATATACCCTCCGGTGAGGGTTTTATTTATTTATTTTTAAAAATATATCTTTATTGATTTCAGAGAGAGGAAGGGAGAGGGAGAGAGAGAGAGAAACATCACGGATGGGAAAGTCATTGATCGGCTGCCTCCCCCACACCCCCGACTGGGGATCAAGCCCGCAATCCGGGCCTGTGCCCTGACTGGGAATCGAACCCCGATCTCCTGGCTCCCAGGTCGATGCTCAACCTCTGAGCCATGCCCAGCCGGGCCAGGTGAGGATTTTAAAAAAGAGAGAGAGCCCGGCCGGCTGTGGCTCAGTGGTTGAGCATGGACCTAGGATCCAGGAGATTGGGGTTCGATTCCCGGTCAGGGCACAGGCCCGGGTTGCGGGCTAGGCAGCCAAAGAATGACTCTCAGCATTGATGTTTCTATCTCTCTTGCTCCCTCTCCTTTCCTCTCTCTGAAATCAATAAAGGTACGTTTAAAATAAATAAATAAATAAATAATAAGTAAATAAATAAGAGAAAGGTTATGGTTGGTAATCTCTCATTATAAAAACAACATAGAAATAGTCTTCTTGGGAGTGGGGTGGGGAGGGGCTGTGGAGCCCCGGCCTCAGTTGGGTACCTGGGACCTAGGTAGGTCCTGAGGCCAGCACGGGCCACCTGGGGACTGAGGACACTGGTCTGAAGGCCTCCAGGAGGGGGAGGAGGAGGGGCCCCAGGGTGGGTCCCCCTTCCCAAGAATGCAGAGGCGGCTCCTCCCCCCTCAGGGCAAAGGTCATAGGAAGGAGGCCCGCGTCCGCCCGGCTCCTGCTGGGCGGGGCTTGGGTGTCCCCTCTGTCACCTTGGCGGCCCGGGGACCCTGGGGGCTGGGCAGCATTCCCGGGGCTCCGAAGCGCGCGCTGTAAACACCACTGGCCGGCCCACGGGGAGCGCGCGGGAGCGGAGGCGCCCTTCCCCGCACACTCGGCCCTCTGCGCCCCCGACCACGCGGGGGGCCCAGAAGCACCGGCAGCCCCCTGGAAGGGGCGCAAGCGAGGGGCCACAGCGGGGGACCCAGGCCCGCGCGGGAGCTGCGCCAGGAGCAGGGGCCCGGGAGAGCCTCAGGGGCCCC